CTAGGCTCAGCTCTGTGCAAACCATGAATGGACGCAGGGTGCATAAGAGGTTACTGGGCTTTTAAGAGATGGGACCTTAGAGACAGCATTCATGGTAAAGCTCCCCAAAGGTGACTGTCACAGTAGAGCTACGTCTGGCCGTTACAAGTAGCAGTGTTTCTGTGGTCTTCTCATTGGAGCAGCAATGTCCCTGCCAAGGTGGTCAAGGATTCATGCTGCCTCAGACCAGTGTTCTTCCAGAAAAGTGGTCAGTGCTAGGTGCTGGGTACTCTCTGAATCAGGAGACATTTTTCTTCACTTCTCCTTCTGCCCATCTCAAGCACTTGTTCTGGCCTTCTGCCCTCTTGGAAATCTGAAATAAACAATGTTGTCAGTAAATATGAAAAGGTATCCCCTTGCTTCCTACCATATAATTGACCACCTTCACCATGGCCTGTCCCAAAAAACATCACGTCTGTATCCTTCTTTCATCCAGGATGTTGGGGTTCAACGTGGAAGGTCCTGTCACTGTCTCATCTGTATGAGGCTGGACTAAGGCTTTGTCCCTTGATTATGAGTGGTTCCAGGGGTTTCTTTTGTCCCCACGCTGTAGCCTCCAACATGCCTTGGAGGCCACAAAGAAGCAGCAGCAACATTGTTCCTGATAAGTGCAGAAAGGTAAATACTTCAGACCTTTTTGGGAGATACTGATGAAAATAAGCTAAGCAAGGGATCCTAGAGTGTGGGTTCAGAAGGGGGGAGCTGAGTTCATCATGATCCTATCTGAGGGTCTCTGGGTTCATTCAGTAGGTGGAAATGTGTCAGGAAACCATGACACACAGAGGAGAAAGCCCTGACTATCAGGGGAGGGTGTCTCAGTGGTTGTCCCTCCCACAGTTGCCCGCTCTCTGCCATACCTGGTTCCGGACCCTTCTCTGGATTCAAATGACAAACACTTCAGATTTCACGTGGGATCCACTCAAAGGACAGTTGACCTCACCTTGAAGGTGGCTGGCTGTGCTGGTGAGGTGTGGGCACTGGACATACGGCCTTCACACGGCTCCTGTGAAGCAGTAGTAGGGTGAGAAGTGTCTGAGGTGGGAGTGCAGACAGGAGCTAGCTGAGTTGTTGGGACATGGAAGCGTTACCAAGAGGGGGAGTCACATGAAATATAAAATTATCTTGTTTCAAAATGTGAGTCTTCTCCATTTCAATAAATCTTCAGTGCTGTCAAGTAGGGACCAGTCACATAGAGAGGAGGTGGAGCCATTTGTGTGTGTGTGTGGAGGAGGATCATCCAGATACAAGTATTGAAAGTCAAGATGACTCATGGTGCAAAATCAGACAGACTCAGTGATTGGTACTGAGGTGAGCTGTACAGGTCTATGGATCTGGGGATGGGGGAATGTGCAGTAGCCAGAACACTCCTGAGGGTTGCCCCATAGCCAATGGCCTCACCCATCCCTGTCCACTCTACCTTCCTACCTGGGCTCCAGATGGATCCTCCTGCATCTCCAGCCTCCCTTGCTGTCTCCAACCTGATCAGAAACTTATAGCTAGGACATACACAAGGAAACAGGTCAGGCCCAGGGTGGTCTTTGGTGTCCAGTGCCACTGTCTCCTCTAATGGCCTGGAGGCCCATCTGGAGGCTGGCAGCTTATCTGAGGAACTCACTGTGCATTTAAGTCCTGTGGAACTTTGTGGTATTCTCCAGTTTCCATGTTCATCACCAGTATTCTGTGATCTTTCTTTCAGGGTTTCTGAGTGCTTCAGAGTGATTCTTTGGCAGGAAGCCATTCCGGAGTGACTGGCCTTCATAGAACTGCCTCGGGAATGTCAGAAGAAAACTGGACTCAGGCTCTTTCCATCTTCCCTCACTCCTCAGGGTCCTAGCTGACCTGAGAAGGATGGAACCCTTCCCTCCTTCCGCCGCAGACATGGGGGCATTTTCTGCTTACTGTCTGTCAGCTAGGGATGTGGACACAGACACCCATTGGCACACAGCCACTTGGAATTCCTATCCCGCTCTCTCCTTGGGTGTCTGTGTCTATGCCAAGCTGCTCCCCACTCTCTAGCTCTCTAGGATCAGCCTCCTGCAAGTTCAGTGACTCCCACATCACTTGAAACAGACATGATAAAACTAGTCTCTCACCCTGGGCTTCCTCACTGGACGAGGCAGATGACAGACATATCAAAGGAAGCCTTGCTGCTCTCTGGATTAGGAGTACAGTCTCTAGTCACATCTTTGCTTTGCCCAGAGGAGGATTTTGCAGATGTGAACTCTGAAGATGAGCAAGTCCATAATGAACTCTTGGTGGTACTACTCTAAGCCACTCCTGGAGGGCTGCTCATGATGTGAGTCATGTGGACTCTCCGTGGGAGTGCTGTTCAGTGCAGGTCCTCTTCAGGAGGGATAACTTGTCATCCTGACTCCTCTTCAATAAATGCAGGGTGAAAGGCATTCTTCAACTCTGGCCACCTTTTTCTCTTCTCCATGACACTCAGGTTGAGTAGACAAAGTAAACATGGGGAGACTAGGGGCACTGGATGCCTTATTTAGAGGGAAGGAAGTGCAGGGGTCATGGCACTACTCTGCCAATTGCACATTAAAAGTTCCTGAATGTGTGACTGCATGGGCTGGAGCAAAGTGTAAACCACCCATGCTGGCTTGCCATGGCTTCTATGTAGCAGTAGAGGAGGTTGTGTGAGTTGAGGGACAAGGCAGGAGCAAGGTGTGTTCTCGGGTCATGAGGGCATTTCCAAGAGGGGCAGTCACATAAAATATGTATTCACCTTGTTTCAATGGGGGCACCTTATCAAGCCAACAAATCTTCACTAGTGTCAGCTGTGGGCTTGGCACACAGAAGACAGGATTGTGTATTTGTGTATTCATCCAGATATAAAAATGAGGGTGCAGTTGAGATGACTCAGGATGAAAAATATGAGGTCAGGGGCTGGTGCTGGGGTGGGCTCTGAAGCTTTCTGGATCTGGGACTGTGCTGCCTAGTAGTCAGGATACTGCTGAGTTCTTTATCACAGCCAGTAATCACTCATCTGACCCTGTCCACTCTACCTTCCCAACTGGGCTTTTAATTCACCTTCCATGCATCAGTGTTCTGTTGCTGCCAGCAAATTACAGCAAGAAACACACAGTCCAACAGGTTAGGCCCAGTGTGGTCTTCTGTGTCCTGATCCTCTGTCCCTGCTAATGACCCATAGACTCATCTGGAGGCTTGCGGCAGAGATGAGGTTCTCACTGTGCATCTAAGGTCCCATGCACCTTTGGGATTGTCCTTGGAGTTTGCCTGATGATCACCAGCACTCTGTGGATCTCGCTTCTCAGGGTCTCAGAGCCCTGCAGCGTGTTTCACGTGGTGCCACCATGCATCAAGGAGGGAGCTGCCTGCAGGGGAGGGTTAGGTAGATGTTGAGGTCAGAGCTGGCACCCAGAATCTTCCCTCACTCCTCTGGGTCCCAGCTGATCCTCAGTGTGGGACTCCCTTATTACTTCCTCTACATGCACATGGGCGCTTTGCTCTTACTTTAGCTAGTGATGTTTACCCAGCTTCCCACTGGAACACCGAAACCTAGAATTCTTACTGTGGCTCTCTCCTGTGGCTGTCTGCATCCATGCCAGGCTGCAATCTACTCTCGGGTGTTAGCCTCCAGGGAGTTCAGTGATTTCCACAGCACTAGAAAACAGAATAAAGTGAGTCTCTTAGTGGTGATAGGCAGGATAATACTTGACTGTGCTGGCCCTGTGTTGGGATGATTCCTCAAGCTGATTCCTCAAGAATAATCCACTAGTCCCTTTCAGCAACTCTCTCCTCCATCCTTCTCCATCCTCAGATCACCATCCTCTGCTACCTACATCTAGTACAAAGTTTTCAGGACTCTCAATAGGAGGACAGATAGTATGTTATTTGCTTTCTGTGGTGATAGATGTAATGTCACCTAACCCCTCAAATGTGTATATTCAGAATGTGTTAACTGAAGAGGACATTATTAACAGCATGCATAAAGAGAATGCAGAAGCGCATCTGACCATCCCACCTACTTGTTTCACCAAGGTCTCCGTGGTCCTCACTCACTGCCACGATTTTACTCCTGGCCAGGGGTGGTTTCCTTTAGGCAGAGAGGTGTGGTCTCTTTGGGGGTGGGAGGAAGTAGCATGAACTGAGGAAGCAGTTTTTAACCCCACCCACCAGGCCTTCCCAAGCCCACATTATGCTTGTTTTGAGGGGCTCTGGGCACACTCTGGGGCTGGCCACTGAAGTCTCCTCAGCTGTTTCCAGGGCCCGATCATCTGCCGCCTCTGTCTTTTGTGCTGGGGCTTTTGCGCTTGGCTCCCTCACTGGGCAAGGCAGGTGATGTGTCCCAGGAACATTTTCTGCTGTCCGAGTTAGATGTGCAGTCTGTGTTCACATTGTGGGTTTGCTAGGAGGAGGGGGGGTTTGCAGATATGAACTCTGGAAAGTATGGAAGTTTTGATGAATTTTTGGAGGTTTTGCTGCTCCAAGCCTCTTTTGAAGTGCTGCTCATGGAGCCATGAGATTACACTGGAGGTTCATTTGTTCAGTGTGGGTTCTCTTCAGGAGGGGTTGGCTTGTCAGCCTTCGTCCTCTTCAGGGAAGACAGTTTGGGCGGCATTTTTTGTCTCGGGCCACCTTTCTTCTCATCTACTAGAGAAATCCGAAGACTGTCATATCCCTAGACAAATGTAATTTATTAGTGTGTGCAAAAGATGGAATTTTATATTTACAGACAAGTATCCCAGTCACCACTCATCAAAGAAGCTTCCTTTGCAACAGGCAGAGACTATTACAAAGTTCCAAACCTGGTCGTACAGAGAGATTGTGAGTTTACCAAGCCCAAATGAAATGACTACAATGCAACCTCTATACCTAAGGCTCACAGAACATAGTGGAACAAGGGGTAGAGGGAACACTTATGCATCTTTCAACTCTCATCAATTAAGATCCCTCATGTGGCAGAGGGTCATGAACACAAGATGCCACAAATGGCCAAAGCATAGATAATAAGATTCTGCAGTGTGTCTTGGACAGGACTCCCACATTAAACTCCACCCACTCAGGGTTTAGGGACCATTGCAGAAGAAGGGGTAGAAAGAGTATACAATCCAGGAAGGAGGTACATGACCATATAGAAGTGGACCTTGCTCATATGAACCTACAGATACGGTGCCAAAGAACCTTTGGCAGCTGATTACTGCTGGGTGAGGAACAGCTGATCTTCTTAAAGGGCAGAACTCTAGATTGGCTGACTAGACCTCAATGGATAAACTTGTGCTGAGGGAGTTCAGGGGACAGTAACTTGACTAGGTGGGCCTTAACAAAAGATAACAGAATGTGTAAATAACAGAATGTGTAAACTCCAGTGGGGCAGAGTCTATGGGAGGAACCAATGGGGAAGGGGTTATAAAGATGATTAAGATGTTCTGTATGAAATACACAAAAATTCAATAAAAAAAAAACAGAAAAAATGCAGAAGTGTGTGGAGAGCCACAGCCTCCGCCGCCATTACAAGATGGTGCCGGTATCCGGACCTTCTTATAAGTAAACATCCTGCCACACCCATAAGGGGCGTGCACAAGAGCCTGCTTTCCCCCGCCTCCTCCCGTGGCGTGATCTCCAGCAACCAATCCGCTTCTTATGATCTCCAGCAACCAATCTGCTTCTTATACGTCATAAATGGGACCTTTGGGGCATATATAAGCAACAGCTCTCCCACTTCTCAGCGTCTTTGGTCTTCAGTCTTCAAATAAACTGCTGCAGAAGGATCCTGACTTGTCCTCCCGCGTCGTTCTTGCCGGCGAGACGGAAAGCGGTCGGGGACAGCTGGTGCCGAGACCCGGGACTTAACATCGCTGGCGCCGCCCAAAGACCCCTCCAATACAGGAGGAGGATTCAGAACTGCAAGTAGGTTCGGAGAGGTATGGATGTTATGGAGGTTGCTGGAATTGTTTTCACCTTGATTATGGGAGCCTTTGTGATTCTGCTTCTCACCCTATGCTTCCACGCGGGTTACTGTCAGGAAGAAGGGCAAATGGTTCTAGAGGATCTCCAGGACAGCCTATCAGAAACCGAACGAAATGAAAGGATGGGAGCACGTGCAAAAGAAAATAGGGCCCAAAGTGAAAATGGACCTCCCGGTAAGCCAGAGGAAGGCAGGGGAGAGAGCACTGTCGAAAAGGACGGAGCAAGAAACCAAGTAACAGGTTTTAGACAGGGAAGAAACTTACCAAAGGGGTATTTATACCCCACAAGGGAACTTGCTGCTCTGCAGTTAGAAGAGAGCAGTTTAAGCCCAGAAGAAGAGATAGAATTAGAAGAACAAGCCGCAAGCTATGAGGAAAATAGATATAGGCCACTGGAATATAAGAACCCAATGCCCTATGTTCTGGGGCAAGGGGCTGCTACTGCCCCCCCACCTTATTCAATACAGCCATCATGTTCACTCCTCCCTAAAATTGTGAGGAAAAAGCTGGGTATGGCCTTCCCAGTTTTTGAAATGCCTATAGAGGGACAAGAAGGCATGGGACGAGTCTATGCGCCTGTAGATTATAATCAGATAAAAGAATTGGCTGAAGCAGTAAGAAAATATGGAGTGAATGCAAATTTTACTTTAGCACAGCTAGACAGACTGGCAAGAGATTCTATGACGCCTACTGACTGGCAAACTATTGCAAAGGCTACGCTTAATAGCATGGGCCAATTTTTAGAGTGGAAGGCGCTATGGTATGAGGCTGCACAAGAGCAAGCC